CCTGGTCCCCGGCCCGAGTCCGCTGTGGACTGTACCTGTGCCGCACACCCTGAAATCGGCGTCCGGGGCAGTCACACAAACACGCACACGTACACCCAGCCCGCACCTTCCTCCAGCCAGAAGCCCGACCCGCTCCCACTGGTCGCAAGGCCCCTGGGCATCTCCAGAGCTAACCAGACCTTTCCCTGCGTACTGGCTTGGGCCTTCTCTGTTTTCTAACCACCTCCCTCTTAGCGCCCTCCACGCCCAAACCACTTCTCCTAGTCGGGCAGGCCCCAGTTCCTTGGAGCCAGACGAGAAACAGGAGGCACTAAGTTACATACGCCCCAGTCTGCCCATCTCAAGTGGCCCTGTCACCTATATGCTGTTATTAACAGTTATACCCATTTCATAGTCCAGCCCATTGAGGTTCTTGGCATTGAAAAACCTGTGGCCATTAAATCTTTACCCTTTTCTTCCGCACACCTCTTCCTTCCAGCAGGTTCTAGTCCCTGGAAGGGGCAGAATCCTTCCAGACTATAGCGGCTTGCTAGTGATGGGGCTGCAGGGGAGTCCCGCTATCCACCCTCCCAGGCCCACGCACCCCAGCTTACCAGCTTGCAGGGCCGGTGGGGATGAACCACGCGGATGATCTCCCCGGTGGGTATCAGCTCCACTTGCAGCGCCATCCTGCCCTGCGGAGAGCCAGCTTGCTGAGCACTGAAGGCTGGTGCAAGCCTGGCAGCTGCCTGCCCGCCCTCTGGCTCTAGCTGCTCCGGGAGCCAGGAACCCTCCGTCTCACTCCTGGCCAGCCACTCTGTTCAGCTTCCACCCCAGCCCCAGGGGATGTAGCTGGTCCAGCGCCTCAGGACACAGCTGGAGTGGCCCAGGTCTGATTGGGAGGCCACTTGGCCCAGAGGCTGGGGGCAGGAAGAGGAGGGGCTGAGGAAATGCCTGTTGTCCCAGGTAACCAGAGGAGCTGATGCAGCCACCATCCTGGGGAACCCGGTCTATAGGTCAAAGGATAGGTGGTTTTTTCCCACCCCAGCTTCACAGTCCCAGCCTCTCCTGTGGTCCGCTCCTCAGTGTCAGCCAGAAAGCACTGACCATTCCTCAAATTATAGGAACACCCATCCGAGCCCCTGCTTGTCTCCCCAACTTGCCTGACTCCCACAGCAGCAGGAGAGCCCCTGAAACATGAGGGGCCAGGCCAGACGAGGGCTGGTCATGCTGGTCAGAGGGGCTTGGCAGGTGCTGGGAAGAGGTGTCTATCTGTCCCTCTCCAATGTCCTCAGAGTTTCCAATGCCTGGGAGGTTGAGTCCAGGGCTTCCTAGGTTTGGGCCACCTCTTGCCGTTTGCTCACTTTTCAGTAGCACCCACCAGCTGCCGCTACCCCACCCTTAATGTTCCTATTTGTCTATCTTTATTGTTGCTAAATCAAGTTGACACTTTCCTGGCCTGGGTCTGAGCCCTCTGGTCTCCAGCTATTCCTTATAGGAAGTGAGAAGGCGGAAGTGGATGGGGGATATGGATGTTTCCAGAGGGACAGGCTGGTTTTGGAGGGGGCTGGAACCCAATGGGCCTGTGCTGGCCTCAGCAGTCCTACGGGCAGGCACCTTTCCCCAGGCACCCTTTTCTGCCCTCCCCACAGCTTCTCCCGCCCAGGAAAGGCCAGCAAAGCTTCCTTCCTTCCTCCGGGAAGGCGCATCTATCCAGGGCAGTCTCATCCAGGCAGCCACACAATGGCCCTTATCAGCCACGGAGCCAAGCGCAGAGACCCAATGCACACCAAGTCTCACTTATTTCCTGTTTCCACCCAGAGGTCAGGGCTGGGCCCAGAGCCGCCATATCCTGACTGGGGCCAAAAGGAGGGAGAGCGCTCCCTGTTCCCTTCCCTGTGCCTCTCAGTCACCAATCGCGGCTGCACTCACCCCTCCCAGGGCAGGCGAGGCGGCCTCCTGACAGAGGCAAACGTGGTGTGTGTGAAGACTTAGGAAGGGGGCATATTGACCTGGCCAGGAGAAGCAACCTGTGGAGGAGGCCCAAGACGCAGGCCTTGGGCTAGAGTCACCCGAGCAGGCTCCTTTAGCAGTGACCGAGGGAGGTTTTGGGGTACATTGTGGGCAGACAGCTTTATTTTTCCAGTGATCTTTTCCACAATCATCTTGTGACTAGGTACATTCTTTGTTCGTAAGAGACAACTAAAAATCCCTCCGTGTCCAGGAACCGCTTGCGTTCCTGCTCCGGCTGACTCTGTACCTCGGGGGGAGGGTGGTTTGTGTGTGTAGGGTACACCCCTTATCTGAGACTTGCTTCCCCATTTGCTAAATGCGGGTGCTCTGTGGCAGCGCCCATGATGGCTGTGGAAAGGAACAGGCAGGCAGTTCAGTGCAGGACTTCAGGGCTATCTCAGAAGTGTGTCCATCGGGGGCAGGGATAGAGGTAACTATGGGGGAACTTAGGAGGGAAGGAGCCTAGGGGATGGAGAGAAAAGATGGTGACCTTTGGAGAGACTAGGGAGTGAGGGGTGGAGGGGTGAGCCAGGGGGAGCACAGTGGGTACCTTTTTTCTGAGCTTCTCAGTTCCCCCGAACCCCAGCTCAACAGCAAACTACACACCCAACAGTGTAGGTGGCACGTGTGTCCCAACTGGGCCTGCGACCCAAAAGTGGCCCTGTGCCACGTTCCCACCCTGGCCATGCATGCCAACCTCACACCCAGGCAGTCTAGTTTGGATCGGCAGGGATCACCATCATTAATGAGTCACACAAAAGTCAAAAGCCAGGAGTCTGATGATCCCTAATATAACAAGACTCAGAAAATAGCCAGGCAGGCCCCGCTAGAAGCCAGGGCCCAGTTGATACATAGCTCCCACGGTGGAGTGGGGAATAGTAGGGGAGGCTCTCCCTGACATGTCTTCTCCTGAAGAAGTCAGGAGACTGCTGAGTGACCACTGGCTAGGGCAAGTGGTGGGAATGGGGACAGGCCAAGTCCACAGCATCTGGAGAATACTCTCAGAAGGGCCCTGGGCCTGACCCTCCAGAATGACGCTCTCCTATCAGCCTACACTACGTTCAATGAGATGAGCTTCTGCCCACTGCCTCTTGTCAAAAGACCACCCAGGAAAAGACTGTGGCCACAGTGCCTCCACACACCTGCCTGCCTACCCTCCCAAGAGCGCAGGTTGGTGACAGGGGGCCAGTCTGGTCTCACAGCAGAAGCTAACTAGCTCCTTTTCATTTCTGCCTAGGCCCTGGGACTTCTGGGGTCAGACTCCATGCAGGGGAGTGAGGGGGAAGGCTGTGCTGGCATAAGAAGCCTCAGCCACCTGCCCAAAACCCCTTGGGAGGAGCCTGGGTGGTGGGACCCCTTCATCCTGCCCAAGGTGCCATACTGTTCCTGCTGAGAGAAGGGGAGCCCTGGCCAATGCCCATCCCTCAGGAGGTCAAGCCACGAGAATGGCAAGATGCCTGGATGCTGACGTTGCTTGTGCCAACTCGTCTCTGCAGTCTGGACAGATGTGAGCATCTCCCTCCCAGGCCGCCCGAGGCCCCTGATGGCGTGACAAGAATGCAGGCCCATGCCAGCTGGGGCATATGCCTGGCAGGCCTGCGTGGGCAGGGCTGGAAGTGGGGGCGGGTGGGTCGAGAAATAAGATGCAGGCTGGAGGGTCTTTCCCGAGTCCCATGGTCTGTCCCCGCTGACAGATACAGTAGCTGGTGTCCTGGGCCCCTCAGCAACAAAAGGCTGTCCTTGGGCGGCCACTTGTAGAGATGGGGACAGGAGAGGGCAGACGGTGAGTGAGAGCCACGCTGGGAAGCAGCTTCATGGAGGGACCTGGTTGCTGCCCGGGGGGCAAGCCGAGCCCCCAGTGCTCCTGGCAGTGGGGAGGCCGAGCTGGCTGCCAGCCCCGGCCTCTACCCTGTACTCGATCCGCCGGCAGCTCAGATCTGTGGATGGGCATACCCCTGAGTGTCCTCCCCCAAACAGGAGCGGGGGCAGATCTGCAGGGAGAAACAAGTGGTGAGCAGAAGGGGGCAGGCAGAGGGGCTTCCCACCCTACCTTCTACCCCCAACAGACACCGCTCCTCGGGCTTCACCACAATGGGCTCAAGTGCCCTGTGACTGCTGCCCCCTCTCCCTCCTCGGTGGGCACCCTCACCTGGAAGGGCTTGCTTATCCCCACCACGGACTGGAGACTGTTGCTGTAGTAACAGAGGAGAAACTCCTCCTCAGTCTCAGGGATATTGGTGGTGTTGATGTACACCTGGGGAGGGGACACACATGGTCAGGAATGGAGTCAGTTCCATGGTCCTGGGCCCCAACCAGCTCTCCAGTTATCCAGCCCTGGGTTCCTTCCAGGAGATGGGAGAGTCCAGGAGGGCTGCAGCTGGGGCTGTGCAACACGGGCTCAAGAGGGGCAGGTACCTGGTTCAGCCCATCGCTGATGGAGATCTGGTTGTCCCGGACCCAGACATAGGTAACGTAGTCATTGACGTGGCGCAGCCCCACCTGCGGGGTGATCAGGGTGGTCGGTGGTCTGGGAGGACCAGGGACTTACAGAAAGCCTGAAGGAGTGAGCACTGGCTATTAGACTGCAATCGCCCCCTCCCACTGATGTGAGACTCAGGATGAGCAAGGCCCCCTGGAGGGGATGGGGATGAGCTCCCAGCAAAGACTCACTCCCTGTCTTACCCCCACCTCACCTTGTACAGTCCAATCCAGTCCCAGGGGCTGCTGAGGAAGTCAGAGGCCAAGGAGTAGCTGACCAGCATGTCCTTCTCCATGGTCCACAAGCCCTCGGGTGTCAGGGTGATCGGTGGGGCAGATACCAAGGGCTTCATCTGCACAGAGGGGTGCACACCCCTGAGGAGAATGCAGTGGGCCCTTCCACTGTGTCAGGGCCAGTGAGGTGGGGCACTGAACATGGCACACCACTACAGAGGGGAGGGGGGCCTAGAAAGGGTCAGCCCTTGGCTGGCCAGCTATAAAGACAGGGCCAGAGTGTTGTTGTGATGGCCAGGCCAGCCAGGGCTAATGGCCAGGTAGCTAATACAGGGAGCCCAGCGCCAGGGAGTGAGAGGAGGTGGTGGGGGCGGCTAGTGCTGAGGGGCTTTGGAGAGAAGCTGGACAGCTGCCCTCAGGCCGAGGGTCCCTGATCCAAAGGCCAAGATCCAATGGTGCAGGGGGCGGGGCGATTGGCTAGTGCAGCTTCAGGAATCTGGAAGGGCTCAGCCCAGCAAGACAAGGATGTGCCAGCAGAAGGATGGCTGAAGGGATGGCCAGCAGCTCAAGGGACAGGGACACAACCTGGGCCGAGAGGTGACAAGATAGGAATGGAGGAGGCTCCCTTGGAAACTCAATCCAGGTACGTTTAGGACAAATAAAAGGAAGTCCAGCTTCGCCTAGTAGGTAATAACCCTAATGGAAGGCACTGGCCCCAAGGGAAGGGTGGAGAGGAAATGGAAACCTATTTACCCAGGCTCTCAACAGCCTTTTGACAGACAGAGCTGTCCATGGGCTCCAGGCTACCTGACCTGGGAGGAAAGGCAGTCATGTCCTATAGGTCTCCAGGGGAGGATGGGGGGGGGGGGGCAAACTGACACCAGAGTCCAGGGCTGATAGGCTCTAAGGAGGTGGCCCAGGATGGAAGTTCACCTCTAAGTCAAAGGTGCCAGTGACAGGCTTGTGGTCGCTGATGCAGTACGTCATGTGGCCGACGTAGCTCCGCAGAGACAAGGAGAAGGGAGGGCCCAGCTGGCTAGGGTCCTGGAGGCTGGCCTGGGGCTGCCGCTTCAACCTCCATAGGATGCGGTCGGTCCATGCGGGCTTGCGTTTTTTCTCACTGGAGGTGGGGAGAGCATAGAGAAGCAGGAAGCGGCATGTGAACGGCAGGGAAGGCACCCCAGGGGCCGCCTGGGCTACAGGTGAAGTGAGCCCAAAGCAGGTGGGAGGGTACACTTAGAATCAAAGGCCTTGTGTCACCTCATGTTTACGAATCCAACCGTGGCTTACAGCACCCATTCCTCGGCTCTGCTCTCGGCTTGCCTGCAGCAGCACTAGAGCAAAGACCACATCTGGGCATTAGAGCAACTACCACCGAGTTTGGATTTGCCTGCCCTGACTCTAAAGGTGTGGCCTTTGGGAAAAGGAAAGGAAATATTTACTGAATGCTTAGTAGTGCCTAAACTAGTACCTAAACTACTACCCTAAACCACTGGTGTCATGGTTACACGTTGGGCTGCTAGTCACAGGGTCAGCAGTTTGAAACCACCAGCGGCTCCAGGGAGAAAGATGGGACTTTCCATTCCCTTAGTTATACAGTGAACCCTTGCCACTTCGCGCTTCGACTTCCGCGGTTTCACTATATCGCAGTTTTTGCGTAACAGCGAATGCTCTGTCATTACTGCCACTGATTGGCTCATACTGTACACGCTTGATGCCATAAATAATATAATAAATAATAAATGATAATTGTAACGTCCAAAATGTTTTACTGTATTTTCCCTTTTTCGTTTAATAAATTGGGTAATACAAGTGTAATGGTGACTAAAGGGTGTTTTTTCATGTCCTCTATGCTCTAACTATGAAAATATTTGATTTACAAATAAGGAATCCTACTTCGCGGAATTTCATTTATCACGGTAGGGTCTAGAACCGATTAACCGCGATAAACGAGGGTTCACTGTAGTCTCAAAAACTCAAGAGAGGCAGTTCTGCCCTGTTCTATAGGGTAGCTGTGAGTCGATGTCAACTTGATGGTAGTGAGTTCTGGTTTATTAGTGCATAAAGAGCACAGGTGTAATGGGCTAAGCACTGAGCTTCTAAGCATAAGGTTGGTGGTTTGAACCCACAAGCTGCTCTGTGGGACAAAGATGAGGCTGTCTGCTCCTGTAAGGACTTAGAGCCTTGCAAACTCAGAGGGACAGTTCTACCTTGTCCTGTTGGGTTGTTAAGAGTCAGAATTGACTTGACGCCAGTGAGTGTGGTTTGGTTCTGTTTACTTGCACCTAGGGAGTCCTGGTGGTGCTGTGTGCTCCCAGGCATCGACTGGGCTGCTGCAAGGCCAGGTGCTTGAATACACCAAGCTGCTCCGAGGGAGGAAGATGAGGCAAGAATGACAGCCTCAGAGACCCTAGGAAGCTCTTCTACTGAGAGCGTCCCATGAGCCAGTAGTAGCTCACACCTGCCCGGTAGAGGTACCTTCCCAAAGGCACACGGCTGGTGAGGGAGGAAGCCAGCCCAGCCCACCGAGCATGGGTATACCTACCACACGGTGAGCACCACACACGCATACCAATACCTCCTAGGCCTGCTTGCCCACGTGTGACATGCAGGCAATAGCAGTTGCCACCTCTCAGGGTTGCCGGATGACAAGCAAAGCGATGCACATAAAATGCCCAGCACTGTGCCTGGTCCAAAGCAAGCACTGGGAAGACACTGGCAACTGTGACCCTTTGTTCTCCAGAGTCAACCAAGCCACTTTCCTGAGGAGCAGTGGGTGAGGCTGCTCAGGACACAAGTGCCCTCGCCCTCTAGGTAACTGAAGGTGCCCAGACAGGCAAGTGTCTGAACTTTGACGCTGCCCTGTCCAAGCAGCTAAAGGGACATTCTTCCATCACCCTGAATCCTAGAAGGGGTGACAGGGAGGGCAGTGGCTGTTTCTGAGTTTCTCTTCCATCAGAGGCTCCCCCTTTTTCATTATTAGATCTTTATTTGGGTGTCTCGACAGTAGGATCCACAAGAGGCTCCCCTTTCTTGAATGAGCCACAGAACAGTGAAGTCTGGTCAGAACAAAGTGAAAGACCCCATGAGTGTCCACCTTTGGAGTCTCAGTTCGCTGACCCCTGGGCCCACCCCTTTCTGGGTGGTTCTCAGGACTGGACCTTTGCTTTTGGAGGCTTTGCTGCTGGGAAGGTCCCTCTATTGACGAAGGCCCAGTGCCAATGCTGCTCTTGGACATGAGGCTGCCCCAGAACTCGCCTTTCTGCTGGCCTCCAGGGCACTTTATACCGCAGCTCTCACCGCAACGGGATATTGTCCTTGTCTGCTTCAGCCAGTGGTGCATGAACTGACGGCCACACTGGCCCCAAGGGTTCTCCTGTGCCCTCAGCATCAGGATAGGTGCCCAGGAACCTGCTTCTAAAACCCAAGACACTGAAACCCTCAACTGAGTCTCTCGACTCAGAAGTGCCCAACTCACCTTCATGAACACCATTTCACTTGCTGGCTACGCTGCTTTTTGTTTTCTGTTTTACTCTTATTAGACTAGTAAACACAATCTTGTTACCTCAGCAGCAACACAGTGTGGTACTCCGCTGCTGGAGGCAGACTGGCACGGAGACAAGGAACTTAATCTCTGGACTCACAGCCCAGCTTGAGAATCCAGAGCTGAGTGCCCCTGGGCAAGTGACTTCACCTGGCTAACTCTCAATTTCTTTCACTATCAGATGGGGCTGATAACAATGCTTGCTTCAAAGAGCAACTATGAGGATTAAATAAATTAAAGTGCATCAGGGTTGTGGCCAAGAAAAGTAACACTGGCTAAACCACTCAGCAGCTGAACACCTTGGTGGTTCCCCGACTCTCACTCAGTTCTGAGTCCTCTTCAGAGTCCACCCCAGAGGTGACAAGTCACTGTGTTCCTGAATCCACCTTGGATGTTCTGGGCCTACACAGGGGAATGAGCAACCCTAGCCATTCTCTTTCTCAACCCTTCCCCTTTGCCGACTTTGAGGTCAAGGTGAAAGAGCCCACACTCAGGATCATCATGCCCGGGCCTTCCAACAGCTGTTCTATGGGAGAAAGGGGAAGCAATCTGCTCTGTAAAGACTCACAGCCTCAGGATCTGGAGGGAGCAGTTCTATTCTGGGTTAGAGGGTCACAGTGAGTTGGAATCGACTCATGGCAGTGGGTTTGGTTTGGGTTTGTTTGTATTATGTACAGGGCAACTGAGGATAAGGTAATCAAGATGCACAAGGAACTTCCAATAAAATCTCACAGCTAGTCAGCTGATTCCAACTCATAGCGACCTTATAGGACAGGGTAGAACTGCCCTGTGAGTTTCCAAGACTATAAGTCATTACAGGAGTAGAGAGCTTTGTCTTTCTCCTGAGGAGCAGTAGGTGGTTTCAAACTACTGACCTTGTGGCTAGTAGCCCAAGGCATAGCCACAGCACCACCGGGTCCCTACTGGAGCTTCTGTTGGGACAAATACGAGGGGGTCCCAAAAAACAAAACAAGAAAGAGAAAAAAGTTCTGGTGGGCAGAGCTTTCATAGTACACATTTTTTCCACCAGGTGAGCATCTGAGCAATTCACTTCTGAGTTAGTGCACCCAGTGGTGTCTCCTGGGGAGGTTCTCTCTGGCCACAGTGAATTTTTTCATAAAAACAATTTTGCTACAACCTTGTTTTTTTGTGATGGCCGAGGACATCTGTGAAATTTTTTTCCTGCTCAGGGAAAATGCCGCAGAAACCGTTGTGATGTTGAACACAACTTACAAGAGCAGCGCTATGGTAAAAACTCAAGTTACAAGTGGTTTTCTCTTTTCAAAAAAGGTGAAATGTAGACTGATGATCGGCGACAAACCTTGTTCCGAATCAACCACCCAAATGGATGAAAATGTCGACTGGGAGTGCATTTGGAGATCGTTCAACCAGTTCAGACTGTTAATCAAGCTTTCTATTTAGGGGTTCTGAAAAGGGTGTGTAACAAAAAAGTCCTGATTTGTGGCAGACAGGGGGCTGGTTTCGCAAGCCCAACAATGTACCTGCTCACGCAGCCATCTCAGTGCTCCATTTTTGGGCAAAAAAACCCCAGCATGCCTCTCTTGCAACTTACTCACCTGACCTCGCTCTGTGAGGCTTTTTTGTTTCTGCGAATGAAGAGGGACATGAAGGGACAGCGATAGGACAACGTAGAAGAGGTGAAGAAAAAACAAGGGAGGTGCTGTCAGCCATCCAAAGAGACGAGTTTGAAAAAACGTTTCCAAGGATGCAATCGCAGATCTGACAAATGTATTAAGTGTAAAGGAGAGCACTTCGGAGGTGGTAAGATTGTTTTGTAAAAAAATTGAGATATATAACTTTGAGGAAAACATTTTTCTGTTTTTTTTGGGGGGTACCCCCCTCATAAGACAAGAAGCGATTGAGCAAAATAAGCGTGCACACATTAAACATGTCTATTCCCCAGCTGCCCGTCTGTGCTAGGCCCCAGGGGAGGTGCTCAGCTAAACCTGCAGTCTAAACCTGCAGGCCAGGCCGAGATGAGCTCCAAGAAAGGCGGCTGCTGGGGCGCAGAGAGGCCCCTGCCCTGGTGGGCCCACTAGGAAGGCCGTGCTCCTTTGGGGCACACCACCAGAGCAGGCTGGCAGCATCTGAGGTCCAGAATGGTCTCTGGCATTGAAGCAGTCTGCTTTCAACTTGGAGAGCATCACAACCAAGGAGGATCCCCAGGAGTCGAATGCAGGAGTTCAGAACCTAAAACTAAGCTCCTGCCCCGAGGGTAGAGACTGCAGGGTCTGAGAGCCTTTAGAGCTCTTTGTAGATGGTTTCCGGGCCATGGGTCACCTGTTGGGCCCTTCAACCTTCTAGGGCCCAGATGGCACCTAAGTCTTGACTAGCTTGATCCTAACAACCCTCCTGTGCTCACCTTCAAGCAAAGAGATTAAGTCCGGCTGTAAAGAAACCCTCCTGCCAATCCCGGGCGTGCGCAGGATTTCCCGCCTGCAGCCCTTTCACCTGCCCTGTAAAAGAGCTGATCCCGGCTCCCATTACATCTTGGCTTGGGGACACTGCTGTGGCTGAGTGGAGCGGTGCGCTGGCTGCTGCTGCTGCTGCCAAGCTGCTGGGTCCTGCACACAATGAACCCTCAATTGGTGCAGCTGAGCCAGGCTCGTTCCATCCTCCAGGTGCTTCCTATCAGTGCTGCTGGCTGAGGGACACCTGTAAACCCTCGGCCTCTTTCAACATCTGCCCCCAACAGCAACTCTGATCACCACCTGGCTTGCTAACTTCTCACTCGCTCCAGCCTCCCTCAGTATTTCCAAGCAGAGTTCCGGGAACCTTCTACAGGCCAATTCGTGGGCTGGGGAGTGTTTATTTGGATCTCTTGCCATGGGTGGGTCCCTCTACTGGACTGGCTGGCAGCTCCTTAAATACCCCTGCTTCTCACATATGCCAGGCACTGAGCCCCAGATTGGGGCGTCTGAGCTGTCAGCTGGCATTCAGAGCCAGCAAGACACGGTGAGCAAGGCCTGCCTGTGAGATCAGGGAAGTGAGGCTTCCCAGCAGAGCGGGTGTCTGAGCTGGGGCTGCAAGGATGGAGTGACGGCCCAGACAGGAGTGTCTCTGTTCGCTTTGGAGGGTTCAGGCCCAGCCCACTGGAGGAACGCCCAGCTGCCTGGGGACCCTGGCTCAGGACCAGAATGCTTGTTTTGAAGCTTCCCTCATGGGGTCCCCTCCTCCTGCCTAGACATCCCTTCATTTGCTGGGCTCAGGGCAAGGAGCCCCCAAACCAAACTCACTGCCATCGAGTCGGTTCCGACTCACAGCGATGCTACAGGGCAGAGTGTGTCCCCGAGACTGAACCTTTACAAGGAAGCCCCGCAATGGGTTTACACAAACTCGAGCACAAATGTTTGCGGCATCAGTCAGCCACTCTGTCACTACCTGCAGTGGACAGTCTCTGAGACTGGCTTTCCTCCTTTCTTTTTTTTTAAATTATTTTTGAGAGTGAGTGAGAGAGTGAAGGAGTGAATGAGAGAGTAAGTGCGAGAGTGAATGAGAGAGTGAGTGAATCGGCTTTCCTCCTTTCTGAGAAGTCAGTTAAGTGCTCACCAAGCGGGCCCTGGTGCGAATGCAGTCATGCCCGGCATATAGTACCTGCTCATTACAGGCAGCCACAACGGGCTTTCTCTAGAGCAGTGGTTCTCAATCGTTCTAATGCAGCGATGCTTAAACACAGTTCCTCATCTTATGGTGATCCCCCAACCATAAAATTAGTTTCGTTGCTACTTCACAACTAATTTTGCTACTGTTATGAATTGTGCGACCTCTGTGAAAGGGTCATTCCACACCCTCAAGAGGGTCGAGACCCACAGGTTGAGAACTGATGCTCTAGTGGCTGTTTGGGGCCCCAGCCTCGGGGGCTCCTGTGTACTTGGGTCTGGCTGTGGGCCACATAGCCTGGAGGATCAGGTGGGAGCCCAGCACTGCATGCTGCTCCCTGGCTGAGCCACCTGGGAAAGTCCTGTCGCCTCTCAGCCTCTCTACCCACTGTCAGCCTCTGCCAACTTCTGCCCAGGCCCAGCTGCCTACACCCACTACCCAGTCTCTGTGATGACCCTATCCTATTCCAGGGCAGAGGGACACCTGGCCACACAGCCAGTCGCAAGCTTTCTTCCAAATGCAAGGGAAGTTGACAAGTTGATTTGTGTTCCCAGGGTCTCCCATTTCCAATGGTTGGTTGGGGAGACTGGTAGTCTTCCTGTAGCTGTAGACCTGGGACAGCAGGCCAGCCTGCCCTCTCACCTCCTTCCTGTGTGGACTGCCCTGGCCAGGACCCTTCCTCATCTTGCTCCTCACTCCTGAAACGGGTCACCCACTTCCCCTTCCTGGGTGAGCCCTGTGGGCCTTTCTTGCCATGCCATTTCCAACCCTGGGCCGACAGGACTCACTACTTCTCGTTCTGGTTCTGACCTGGATGTGGGGTTGCCTATCCATCCTCTAAATGCCAGAGGCCGGGCTGCCTTCAGAAGCCAGTCCTGCTGGGAGGAACCAAGGGGGCTGCCTGCCATTGGACATGGGAGGAGGAAGCCTCTTTCTCCCCAGAATGATGGTCCTGGCCCTAAATGGAGTCAGGGAGGGCTGTTGCCAACGTTGCTTTTGTCCCCATGCTAGTTCTTAGAAGGGCTGTCAGTAAATTACCATCTAACGACATGAACCTAAAAATCACAAGAGCATCGATCGTGGCAATGACTATGCAAGTCTTCTTTAGAGGATCAAACTATTGAATTAATTATGAGATACATGAGTTAGACATCAAGGAAACTGTTTAAATAAATAAAAATAACAAGAGCAGTTACAATTGATGACTGTTGCCAGGCACATCCAATCGTCTACCCCATGAGGTGCGTAGTTAGCTTCCCCATTTTACAGACGCCCAAACTGAGGCTTACCTACCTGCCCAAAGTCATACAGTTCATGAAGCACAGAGCTATGCTGCTGTCTACCAGATACTCTCTCTCTGTTACCCCACCCACCCAAATCATCACTCAATACTCCCTCCATCTTCCCACACAGTTCCTGATCCCTTGATGGGCCAATGTGACTGAAATTATTAGCTCGCGGAGCTGAGCTTTCTGCCTGTATCCAGGTTCTCAGGTTGTGGAAGGGCCAGCCCACCCCATGACCCACCCTCCTACTTTCTCTGCCCTCGGTCTGGAACTAGGCCCCATGGCCAGCATCTCATGGGGGGGGGGGGCGCCATCCCAGAGAGGCAATGGCCCTAATCCTGCTTTCCTCAGACTTTCTCTGGCAGCACCCACTGCAGCCAGGACAGACCTATCTCTGCTCATCCCAGATAGGTCCCCTCACCTGGTGTCATAGTTGTTGGAGTGCCGATCAAATTTGTAGGTGGGTGGGAAGAGCAGGGGCCCCTCGTGGAACTCTCGGAGCAAGGGGTCGTGTTTCCTGGCAATGCTGAGCTGTAGAGGGAAGCACCGTCACCTTCTCTGCAGCGTCAAGGGGTCGCATGTGCCATCAGGAGTTAGGCAAGAGTCAAGCAATGCCGGCCACTTCCTCAGCACCCGGCTCATGCACGCTCGGCCACTGCGTCCTATGGCTAAATGCTTTTCAAAATAGTTCCCCCCAGGCCCGGGGAGGCAGCGGCCTGCCATCTCCTATCCTGAACTACAGGGACCAGGTGTTGAGCTGCGTCTGTCTAGAAACCAGGAGCACACACGGGTCAGAGAGTTGGGGGAGCCAGGGACCCCCAGAGGGGTGGTATCTTGTTCTCCAGGAGGTGAGTAGGCCTGAGGATGGACAAACCACAGGCGAGGTGGGTCTTCCAATAGCTCAAGACTTGGCAGCTGCTGCTTGCAGCAGGGTGGGAGCAGCTGGGGAGGATGGTGCTACGATACTCTAGCAGGCCACGGCCCTCCTCCTATACACACCTCCAGCTGTGCACAGCTCCTCCACTATCCTGTCAGGCCACCCCTGGGGACCCTCCCTCACACCATACCTGATCCTTCTCCCATAGCTGGCTGTAGCTTTGGTGTTTGACGGATTCCCGGACGAAGTGCAAGCCAAAGTCCTCGATTCGGAAGTTCATGTCTCCGAACCAGAGAATGAGGCTTCAGAAAGAAAGGAGGGCCGCCTGAGGGTTTGGGATGAAGTCAGAGAAGGGAGAAGCAATGGGGATGCAGCTCGGCTCAGCCCAGGGGCAGGGAAGAAGCCAGATGCTAGGAGACACTGTTGGCCTGGCTCCTATATCACCATTCAGGTCAAACAGACCCGCCAGACAGGCAGGTGGCAAACACACAGCAAGCTGTAGTTCTCCCTTCCTCAACCTCAATGGGCCACCAAGAAAGGCTGAGCCACAAGGATCTTGACCTGGGATGTTCAGAAGCACCAATGATATCTCACCAGGGCAGGGGGGCAGGAAGGAGGGAGGGCCCCAGAGCCCGGACAGGCAGGGCTGATGGGGCACTGGAAGGGGCTGGGAGGAGGTGGCGAACCCAGCACAGGCTCACGCTGGGTGGGGACCATGGCTGGGGAGAGGTTGTTAGTCTGGGCTGGCGTTGGGGTGTTCACAGCGCCATGCTCACTCATGGTCCAGGATGTTGGGGATATCTAGTCCCTCAAAAGTCTGCATCTCCAGGATCCGGTCAAAGTGCTCCAGCCGCTGGTCATTGTTGGTCAGGTGGGGGGGCAGATGGCAGTTGATGATACTGATGTAATAGCCATATAGTCTCAGGCAGATGTTGACGCCCCCTTTGTTTCCCTGCCAGGGCAGGTGGGCAGAAGGGGGCGAGGCTGTGTGAGGCTGGGCACATTTCTCTTCCCTATCCTCAGCTAAGTGGGGATCCTCTCACCTCCCCTGGCCCTCTTGGGGCTGGTCACGCCACTTCCTGGGGTCCTGTCTCCACCCCGAGCCCAGGGCTGGTGCCTCCACCCAGCTGGAGGGCTCAGGCTGTTCAGCCCCCTCGAGGCAAGAGGAGGAGTTTGTAGGGCACTGCCTGGCTTGAAAGCACCCACTCTCCCAGCCCAGAGACAGGCGACCTTCCCCACTTGAGACTCAGAAAACAGCTCGGTCCTTACCCAATACCCGAAGAGGCCCGTGGGTGTGGACTTGGTAGAGAGGATCTGGATGAAGGGCACATGCTGATGCTTGGCAAAGATCAGTAAGAGGAGCCCCTGCATGCGGACACAGGAGACCTGCAGGGGAACAGGGCGATGCCGTTTGTGGGGTTGCACAGGCTCAGTGTGGCCCTGTGCTGGGGTGCCAGTAGAGCCCGAGGCATATACAGATGATGCATTCTGAGAATGGAAAGGTTTCAGTTTGGGCTCTTGGGCCTGGGATGGAGGGGAGAGAGGACCAGGACCTCTGCCATCGGGAGGGCGTTAGTCCCCAGTCCCCGCCCCGGGCAGGTCTCCGGTGCCCCTCTCACTTCTGCTCTCAGAACACCTCTGGGTCTTTCTGGGCTGCCACCCATGCCAGCAGGGCCTTGGGGAGACACGCAGCTATTCAGGAGAATGCTAAGGAGGCCATGAAGGTTGCCAGGGTGGGGTTCAAATCCTGGCTCTGCCTTAGCATTTGGAGTGGAGCCTGTTTCTCAGGGATGAGCAGAAGCGGCTCTGCTCATAGACTTTGGAGCTGCATTGGCGGCTGCTGTTCCTCAGTGTGAGGAGTCTTCAAAGGAAGGAACATCAGGGAATCTGGACCAATGCTGTATCTTGACTTGGCTGGTGTGGTGTGGGTGTCTATGTATGTAGTAATCCACCCAACAGAACACTTAATACTTGGACACTTTCCACGTATTTCCATGGGGATGGCAGGGCGTAGGCACATGCATGCTCGCAGGCTGGGGAGCTGGAGAGGGCGGTCAGTAGCTCCTGTTTCATTTCTGATGCCAACCCTGTGGGACGCACCCTCCTTTTGTACAGATGAGGGAACTGAGGCTCAGAGAGCTGGTAGGATGACCTGGGAAGTGGCACCCGAGGACTAGGACAGCCCACATTCCCACAAGCGGAGGCCATGGGAGGGCGGGGAGCGGGAGGGGGGGGGGCTCAGCCCTCTCTCTTAGGTTCAGACTGTCCACACCCACCACTTGAGTAGCTGTTTCCGGAGCAGGAGGTACAGAGGCCAAGAGGAAATCCCCGGGTGGGGAGCATGTACTGGGCCTTCCAGGAATTATGAAACATGATCCCACAGGCCAGGGAGTCCTGGCACGGTGGAGGAGTCAACACAGGGGGAACCCCAAATCCAGGGGGCCGGTAGAATGCGTGGTTGAATTAGGCTACTAGAACAGGTGTCCCCAACCCATCTTCCTGTCTTTCCCCCTCCCACTCAGTCTTCTGTGACAAGGGAAGTGGAAGGGGCCGAGTCCAGGGCCAGGATCAGAACTAGGGAGGTGATCTGGACGCAGAAAGAGCTTGCAGCTGAATCCCAGCCCACAGAGCAGAGGTGGGTGACTGAATTCCACCAACAAAGTGCCAGTCCGTCACCATGTGAAGGTGCAGGGATGGACGCTCGAGATGAGGTCAGGGGCAGGGCAAGAGCAGACTGGGAGAAAGGATGGGGCTCTGGGGCAGGCAGGCAACTCTAGCGGAAGTTCCGTTAAAAGGAAATAGAGGAGGAGGAGGAGCTAAGGAAGGGACCAGAGGGAGGTGGCCAGGAGAGGGAGCAGGCAATGGGGTCAGCCTCAAGCTCCTCACCCTAGGCTGGCTAATCCCCACCCAAAGAACAGGCTGCAAACAGGGCTTGCTTGTTCACCCCAATTCTTGGCTGGCTGAAGGAGGGGCATCCGCTTTGGGTTCCAGGACCTGAGGCTGGCCTGCCAAACTTGGGAGGCTGCATGGGTGGACTGTGTTGTGTCTGTCACAGCTGAGCTAATTTCCTTGGCTGAGTTCCTTCCACCAATTTGCTGCCAGCCAGCCAGCGTACAGGGAGCCCTGCAGCCCTGGGAGGGGGCAAGGTGCTGAGAGAGAAGCGGTTCTGCCCTCCGCAGAAGCTCTATCTAGCTCCAAGTCCACAGGAAGGGGTCCGAGTTTGTTTTGGAGGAAGTGAGGGCTCAGCAGCGGGCACCTGGCCTCCTCCCAGCTCTACGCTCGGGCAGACCAGGGTAACGGGTTTCCCCAAGTGGGCCAGAAGAAGCCCACCTAGGGAGGGGAGCAGAGGGAATTCTGGTGTTTCCAAGAAACATCTTCTTCGGGGCACTGAATGGGAAAGTGTTTCACCCCTCTGTGTGCAGGACAGACACAAAGTGAGAAACTACCAACCTAGAGCCTCCCTGTGGAGTGCAATCTGCTGTCTAACACCTTCCCAAACTTCCGCCACCCATCTGCCCCCTTTCAGGAAAAGAAAACAAACAAAACCAAAAAAATCTGCATATCCCTGGCAATTAAAAACTTCTGTGCCAGAGACCTTGGTGATACCTACTGGCTGCTAACCCCAAGGTCAGCAATTAAAAATCACCAGTGGGGGTAAGATGAGGCTTTCTACTCCTGTAAAGAGTTCTCGTCTCTGAAGCCCACAGGCCCACGTCTTCCCTGCCCTATAGGGTTACCGTGAGCTGGCACTGACTGGATGGCAGGAGTTGTTATTGGTACTATAGCCCACAATCCAGGATCAAGTGTACGGACCTGCTTTTGCAGCCCCCTTGAATCACTGCAGCGCCCCCCAGGGGGCGGTATCACCCATTTTGGGAAACACGGTCTCAAGTGGTCCCTGAGCCTGAGAAGCTGCCCTCTCCAGCTCCCTTCTCCTGTGGGTCCTGGGAAATCAATTCTGAGCACTAGCCTTAAAGCGGCTAAAAACAGGGGCTATGCAGTCTCAGAGATGTGGATTCAAATCCCAGATAGCTCGACTTTGGGCATGCCACCTCAGAGCCCTGATTTTACCCGTTAAAGAGTCCAATTTCTGGAGTGCTGGTAAGATTTAAAAATAATGGCTGGAAAGAGCTTACTTATAATGCTGAACACTAAGTAAGCATTTGACAAATACCAGCCAGGATGGTCACACCCGGAGACTGTGGGTGGCATGCAAGCAGTGCCTGGAGGCGAATGGTAAAGCCACAAGCCATGCTGTACCTCTCCCAGGAATTCTCCCAACCTGAAAAATATCAAGATGGTAAGTGAGCCCCTTGGGGCCCACTTAACTCCGGCTCCCTGGAGCCTAGTGCAACTGCATGGCAAACCGTTCAGTAAGTGGAAGTCAGAAGAACATGGGGGGGGGGCAAAGAGCTGGGGAGTAGGGGAGGGGGTCAGAGACAAGAGGTGGGGGTCAGAGACAAGAGGTGGGACACATCTGCCCATCGCAGATGAACTTGTGAGTTACCTTCATGAAGCTCAGAGGGGACAGCACATCCATGAAGAAACTGCTCCATGGGTCTTCGAAGGCCATGTCAGAAAGAAGGCTGATGATCCCGCAGTTCATTTCCTGCAGACTAACCGCCCCAGGTCAGAGGCTCTCCCCCAGGCTTGGAGGCCACTGTCTCTGCCAGGCATGCCCTGCCTGCCCTCCCTCACCAGACTGTTAAGTCTTGGTTCTGACCATGGTCTCTCCCCTCCCCGAGCTGTGGGTCTCCATCTCCTGGTCACTGCTGACCCAGGACAAAGGGGCACCGGACCAGATCTGAGGCAGGCTGAAAGCCTTTGACTCCAGAGTATGGGAGGACGGGTGACAGCGGTTCCCCAGAGACACAGCATGGGGCTGGTCGGGCTTACCTAACCTCAGATCTACGGATGGGCGAAGGGGTTCTACAGACACCTACCCAATGATATATAGGTCCAGATTCACGTTCTGGTTGTTCAATTGAAGCAGGTCATTGAGGTCAAGAGGGGGAGCTGCAGAAGCCACGTTCCATGTCACAACATGTATGCTGTGGAGGGGACGCAGAGGTCAGTCATGGAAAAAAGTGGGCAAGACCTTGTCCAGGTGATAAACACTCAAGCGGGTCTAAGCCTGCTAATGGCTGTACCACAATCTAATGAGTCATAATGAGGCACAGGAGAGCCTGTATCTCAAAGGAGGAATCAGGGGCACGGACAACAAACCCTCCATGTTTTCACCATTGTCCCCCAAGCCCAGACATCCTCACTACAGATGGCTTCTCCACACAGGCCCACAGCTGCTCACACCTGGCAGCACTGGTGCAGCTTACACGACTAATAGAGCTGCCAAACGGCGCCGAAGGTTTCTGGGTCAGGCACTGGGAAAGAGAGATGAGGTGGACAGTAAGAATCTAATGATTCCATCAGCTCCACCGGCCACCCTGATGTCGGCAACGTCCCCGCCCTCACTTTCTCCACCCAAGGATTCCTAAAACTACCAGGAAGACCCTGCAACCTCAGTTGTCACCTGGCAAGAGGTCTCATCACTACTAAGACGGGGGCAATTTTAAAAAAGAACAGCAATAATACGACTACATTCCCTCGTTCACTGCTTTCCAGTGGACTCTTGGCAGACCATCAATTCTGCCAAGCTTTGCGTGGCCCCAGGAGAACGTTCTACCTAACAGGTTTCCTCACATCTCTCCGAAGGCTGTCCTCCTTTGGGAAAGTCATCATCTGAGCCACACTCTCCACCCCAACTTCATGCAAACCCTAGGGACGCAGCAGCACCAAGGTAGCAGCTTTGAGAAACACTAAATCCCAGTGGAGCCTCAAGGAGAAGGGGAGGCTTGGCCATCTCTCTAACTGGGCTCTCACAAAACTCCAAGAAAATCCCTGATTGGGACACGAATAAGTGGGACCAAGTCTTGCATGAATTCTAGAGTGTCCACCCTTTTGATAAATGACACTGAATGGGACCTGGGGCAGGTGGGAGGAAAAGAGCAGGCGGTAACATTTCTTCGCAAGGCCACAGCACTCTGTTCTTGAAGGTTCATGTTCTAAAGAACCACACTTGAAGAAATCCCTAACGGGCTTAAAGCAACTTCCTGCCCCTCCCTATGAATACAATCCCCTCAATCCCCCCTCCCACCCCCACCCCCAAAAACTACCTTCCCAGGCACTCAGGTGGGGCTCATATTTGTTTACGATCTCCCCCTGCTGTCCAGCAGAGGATAAAGGGTAGCACTTATTCAAAGGCTTCTTTTTCTTGCGCTAAGTGGAACAAGAGCTAAGCTTGGGATTTCCCGCTACCAACAATCAGGTGCAACGATTTAGCAGCAAAGCTGGAAAATCCTTGCATTGTGACTGGGACCAAGTTAATGATTAGAATTGATCCTTGGTAAGGAGCATTCATGGGACCAGGCAGATTTCGGATTTCAGGAGCTCTCCAGCAGATTAGACAGACCCCGTGATGTGCGCGCTGATCCCAAGTGGGGGCAAGATTTCTCCTGCTCTGGAGCGAAAGGGAGAGTGTCTAACGGTTTTCTCACTTCAAACCGCCCGAGGCGGCCGCCTCCCCCGGGGCCATTTGGGTCACCAGCCTGTGGCGCCTGGAGGAGAATGAACTCAGGTGCTTTTGTTTGGTGGGCGCGGGCCTCGGGTCTGCCACAGGCCGCCCGACAACGGTGCGGACGGGCAGCGCTCCTCAGAAGCGCGGCTGGATGGAAAACGACCCTCGGGTCAGGCGGCCCCTGAGCCGGAGACAAGCAGTAGGCCCGGCCCCTTCCCTCTCGGCCCGCCCCCACATCCACAGCCCGGACTGGCCTGGAGGGAGTGACCCCGCCCAGAGGCGGCCAGTCGGCGGGCATCTTCCTCACCTGAGACTCCTGCCGCTCTGCTCGGTCGGTTTCCGCAGGTCCACGGCCGCCATGGTCCGCACACTGTGGCGCGGCGGGCTGCTGTCTCTCCGACCCTCCGCGCCCGGCCACGATCCGCCTCTGGGGCGTCAGACCCCGAAGAACTCACTCCCACAGGGTGTTTTTCTTCCGGACTCAGAACCTCCTCTTCGGCTTCCGTAAGAGGCGGGCTCGGGGCGCACCGAGCGCTCTGAGTGGCGCGCCTCAGCGAGAGGCGTGGCCACCGACCAGCGCCAAACAGGGAGAGGACGCAGGGGCTCATGGGAGGGCGAGGGGGCGTGTCTCCCGTCCCCCCCAGCGAGCCCACACCGCCCCAGTCGGCGAACCGGCGGGGCTGACTCTCCAGGCGCCTCGGCCCGCTCCCATGACGCCGTGCGCGAGGCCGGCCGCGCCGGGCTTCCGGCGGAACCGCGGCTGCGCCTGCGCGAGCGTCTCCCCGCCGCCCATGCCCACTGAGTCCCCGACGCGGCTCGTCGTTCCGCTGAACACGAGTCTGGGGTCGCTGGCCTTTCCTCCAGTTCGCCCCCGCCCCGACACCCAAGTGATGGAAGAGGTGATAGGCAGTCCACCTAGTTTTACCCGCAATCCAGGCCCTTCCCCGCCAACCAAAGGCAACCTCCCAAAGATCACATCCACTTAGTGCCATTTTTTCTGTAATTCTTCCCTAGACGCACGTTTAGATCCACTTTTAAAACTCTGGCCTGCTTAGTGCACACGGGGCATTTTTAGATACCCGGACTCTTAAAAAGTAACCAACAATAAATAAAAAACAAGTCGGTGCCTGTTTTGACGACCATATATATGAGCTCGAATTTCCTTCAAATCACCGGGTTTTTTCTCTGAGCATGCCATGAGACCTTATGTGACTCTCTCCAAAACACACACACACACACACACACAATTTTGCAAGCAAGCCTCAGGAGGGGCAGACCCCAGAAGCTAGGCTAAGAACTCGAATGCTTTGCTTAGCAGAGGGGTAGATGTGAGGAGACAAAGCAAAAAGGAAATGCTGTCCGCACATATGAAGTATTTGTGCATTTCACAGAAATCTCCCTGCACACACCTTAGAACTTCCCCTAATGGTGCCCTGGCTCAATGGGGTCATCAGCAAGAGTTTTAGATTATTCAAGTTTCAAAATGGACAGGACATCACCAATAAACTGGACTCCAGAGAGCTCTGTCTAGAATTTTATTAGACTGTTATTCCTCCCCACCTCACCCCCGTCAATATACCTGTTTTGGAAGATTGAGACAAAAAGGCACAAACTCACATTAAATAAACAAGGTAATCTAATTGGTTCTACAAAGTGTATTTTGTAAAAGAAGTAGCACTAGGAACCAACCAAACAAGTCAAAGGGGGTCCCAGCAGTAAGAGAACTTGGGAAGGTACACATGTTGTGCCCATCACATTGACCCGACCCCTAACCTCTCTCCCAGAGAAAGCAGAGTCTAGTACCACTCTAGAGGCACTGCTGCTTCCAGACAGGGCCCTTTCCCTATGTATCGAATGGAACCAGCTTGTCTGAAGGGGTGTGGCACATCCTTAGGTATGACCCTGAAGCTGAGGGTTCATTGTGAGCCCCTCTGAGTGCTAGTTGGTTAGGGGTGAGGAGGGAAAGGAGTATGTAAAAGAGGCCAACACTGTGATCCAGCAGCACCATGCCGTGTGGGGATGGAGTGAAGACCAGGGATCTGCCACCTCTATGTTGATGTAGGCAGGAGCCCCAGATCCAGGTTGACCTCAGGAAATCCTACTTCAGCTCATATGGATTTTTTATTCCAGCTAAACAGAGAAAAGGCAGCTGAAGCAAAAGCCCCTGGTGGAGCTGAAGTGATACATGTGGATCTCAAAGAAGAGCCAACGGAAGAAGACCTCTGCTGATCCTCAAACCATAAGAAGGACAGTCTGGGTAGGACGTCAATTAGCATGTCTCAGGATAGAGCCGTATCTGGACTTCAGATAGTTAATGAATGAGAGGGAACTCTTTAAGCATACATATTACAGCTAGAACAGCTTGTAGGAAAATGGTATTTTTTCTCCAGTAGGAATGCCTCTGATTCAATTATCCTACTCAAATAAAAACCACCAGCAGTTAAAATGGGAATAACCAACGGAAATGCCCAGGTCCATTACTATAGATTCCACCAGGTGAAGGGACGAATAAAGGTGACTGAATGGGGCATCATCCTGGATCCAAAGGGACCTCAACGAGCTAATCACCCTGAAGGGTCTGTACCTACCCATCCACCCTTGCCCCAGAGGGCTAATGGGAGCAGCCATCAGGGCGTCACGGGTGCAGTCCTGTAAGACACTCCCTTATTGCACTTAGACATGAGTAAGGCAAAGCAATGGAGAAAAATGTAAGATCAATCAGGCTAGTCCAATTCTCACTCCCCCAGCAGAGACTCCATCTCTTTGAGCAGCAGTTGCCTCCAGGCTAGTGTGGGTCTGAAGGACTGCATGCTCAGGCCAACAGGGCTGGGCGGGGGGGTGGGAGGGCACCATCAAGTGATACCATCCATAGCTATGTTCTAGTCTCCCACCAAGCAGTCCTGCCAAGTCACAGGAACTGTGAGCCCCTCGGCAGGTCCTGCTCCTCTCGAGCCTGCACCTCCTCTGCAGCTCGCTGTGGTAGCTTTCTGCTGGTCACTACTTTACATTTGATTGTCCTGGACAGAACTCAGCGTGGGGATAGGATGAGCCGAGTCCTTGATCCCCAGTTTCTTTCCAGCATCCCTGGAGAAGAGAGGGAACTAGGAAGGAAGCTTTTGGCATGCTCGTTTTTTGCATGAGAAGATCAGGACTCAGGCTCTAGGCAGCCTCCAAGCACAGAAAGGAGGATTATTGCTGAGTGGCAGCACCAGCCCAAAAGGGAAGAGCATGGGCACACAGAGCAAGCTCTTGGAGGGGTCAGGTGGATGATGGTCGAGTGAGGGGCACATCAATTCTAAGGACAGGTCCCTCCAGACAGGCTGGCTGGGGCATGTGGCGGACTCTGCAGAGGTTCAGACAGCGAGGCAACAGGACTGAGAAGCCGCAGAAGCCGCAGGTATTTCTAAGAAGAGTGGCATAGGTGCGATGCCGGAGGCTGGGGTCGATGTGTATTTGTCAGATTTCCGGAAACAGAGGGGCCAGGCCTTGGGTGCCTCCTCGGTGCGTAGATGAGCTACTGGAACAGCTGTTGGGGTGAAGCCACACTGGTGCCCCCGGTGGGCCGGGCATGGGGGAATGCTGTTTTCTCACACAGCCCCTCTCCCCGGTGCACACTCGTAACGGCACAGATCTGCCTGGGAAGCCGGACACCTCCATTACCCCAAGGCTGAAAACAAACTTAGATCATGGAAATCACCACATCACAAAAGACAACTATTTTGAAAGACAAAAAATGTCACTTGAAAATAAAGTGGGGCAGGGTGGGGAAAGGACACACAGAGGAATGGAGAGAGGGAGGGGCTGTAACAGCAGCGTACAGCCACAGGTCTCAGAGGAGCAGGCTCCCGCACACACGGGCTTCGTAATACCAGACGGTCTATTTGTTCACAAGAGTAAAGGGCTTCTAGGATTAGCTACAGTAAGGGGTCGAGAGTTGCCTGAAGAATGGGCACAGAAAGGCTGCGTCCGAAGATGGCCTGTCACACGGGAGGGTGGAGCTGCTGGGCCTTCCTGTTGACCACTGTCTTGCAAAACTAGAAGAAAAATGCAATTATTAAGGAAGCAACAGGGGAAAATAGAAACATGCTACAAATCACTTTTAATGGGGGAATTTCAAAAGGAGGAAGGATGCCAGCCAGTGGGGGTGGGGTGAGGAAAGGGAGGACACAGAGGCCCAACAGTGCTGGAGAAGCTGACATTGCAACCATCTTCTCACATTGCCCTCCTAGCAGCTTTTCTGAGTGGCAAAGGGAGAGCGGAGGTCTGCTTCAGTGTCGGGGAGATACAACCCTCCCAACCCAGGGAGGGCAAGCCACCAGCCACCAGGCTGAGACACCAGGGCGGGGTTTCTCATTCTATACCGAACCCCACCCTGAGCAGCTGCAACAGGAAGTCTGGAGGGTGGAGGGCATTGGGAAACCAACATTAGGGAGACAACCTGAGCCAAGGGACACGCCACCCAGGGTCTATGGCTGGGCAGAAACACTCTCCTCGCATCGGCAAGCTGCCACCTGCGATGAGGCTCAGGGACACAGGAGGAGATGAAGCAGCAGACCCCACGATGAATGCCAGGATAAGCTGTCTGGCCAGCACCTTTCCCAAAGGCAGAGCAGGGCAAGCAACACTGGGGAGCCAGGAACAGGCTCTGGCACAGAATACAGGAAGTGCCAGCTTCAGATAGAAATGGTTCACCTCCTCACCCCCCCCCACCCCCCACCACCCTGCCTGTGTCCATTAAGGAAATTCACAGTTGTGCTCAGTGGGACTTGAGGCCCAAGAGCATGGCAGAAGTGCCCGCAGCACAGGGAAGGAAGGAGGTTCCTGACCCCACACTGCATCGACCCCGAGGACTTTAGCTTCCACCACCTGGACAGTGACAATTCGGTACATACAGTGCAGAAGGGGGAGGGGCGGCTTTAGTCATCGGCTGTCATTCCTTTCACTGGGTCCTTGTGTCTCATCTGGAACAGGAAAGGCACAGCGGAACTCACGGTGAGTGAGGACAGGAATCTGCATGCGCCGCCACCACTCAGGGTGCGTGCCGCGAGCTGGCGTCTCCCCCACTGCCCAGAGTTGAGGTACGTGTGGAAGCCCTGGTTCTGAAGCCTGCCTTTTGTGTGCAGGCTGGGGCCTCAGCAATGGACCAAACAGAAAGGAGCTTACGTTCTGAGACAGGGCCGGCGAACAAATACATGTTGGGGAGGCTAAGGGCCATTTTGTCAGCTGGTCTGGAAGGTCTCTCGGGTTAGTGGTGTGTTAGAGAGGCCCAAGGAACAAACCCTAGGGCCCTCGTGGGCCGGGGGGTGGAGGGGTGCCGGGATCCAGAAGGGCTAGAGACTCTTCCTCCTGAGCTCTTCTTAGAGGGTCCTCCAGCGCGTCAGGTGGGCACCATCTGACCACGGCGTGCCTTTTTGAAAGCCCCATCTCCCTGTACCTCACTGGGCTGTGGTGAAAAGCAGCCAGGACACACAGGCAGAGGACCCTTGGCCTGGCAGGGGTCTACACTCGGTGTGCGCCCTAGAATTATGCTGCTATTGTTTGGTTCCAGACACTGTCCTGCAGCAAAGGGGATGTGTACACAGGGTTCTGTTCTTGTCACCCAAACTTCCACTGGACCAATTTTACAGACTTCTTCTTACTGTCAGTGGGTCTCTCCAAGAAAACACGAGCGACTTGGAAACACCCCCGCCCCCCTCCACCGCAAGGTAGTTCTGTCCCATGCGCTCCGAGTCAGTCAACTGACCGTGATGGGTTTTTGGCACTTAATGCCTGAACTTGATCTTTTAGGCCAAAGTTTCCTCAAACTTGATCAGAATAATTGCTTGGGACACTGGTAGATTCTTGGGCCCCAGACCTATAGGAGACAGACTGTCTGGGAGTCATGTTTTCCTCAGTCTAATAAGCCTCACTTTACACTGTCCCCCAACGAAGATCCTCTGCCCTTACAGGAAAGCCTGCTTTCCACCATCAGTCCAACCGGTGTGCATTCTTAGTCACAGACCTTTAAACTCCTCGATTGCCTAATTTTGTTGAAATCTCATTTCCTTATGTGGCACCTTTCAATGATCACTGCTCCTATCATTTAATTATTCCATAGCAATGATCGACAATGACCTGCAGATAGATTCAGAAGCCTTGCTGGGCACTGTCAGGTAAGTTAGCATTGGACTGCTAACTGCAAGGATGGTGGTTCAAACCCACCAGCCACTCCATGGGAGAAAGATAAGCCTATCTGCACCCTTAAAGATTTACAGCCGCTTTTTGAGAGGAGGGCCTCTTTTCAAACACCAGTGCCACCCCGTGCCCAGGAGCCCATGCCTTGAGCCATCTCAGCCATGTGTGTCTGTGCCTATGAACTGTGCCCTGAACTATGGAACACAATGAGTTTTCTTTATCGACCCTGAAAGAGAGAGACTTAGAGCCTCAAAAACCCTACATAAGGAATGGCCTCACGGGCAGATTTGCTTCTGGACTATGGCTGTGCTATGAGGTTTCCACAATTTTGGACCAAATCTAAGATTTTCCTTCATGACAGAAATCTGTTAAGAAAGGACAGGGAAAAAAAAAAAAAAAGAAAGGCCAGGGCACTGGCACTTTAAAAACAAAAACAAGGCGAAGATGTAACCCTGCCATGCGCCATTGGTATCTGTGTGAACACAATCTGCAAACTCATGCCCACAATACACAAATACAGACCTTAAGCCCCCAGCACTCTTCACTGAGGGGCGGCATAGCCACCAGGAAGGAGCACACCTAGCACCCAGCTCCCTGTGTTCTCCAAACCCCACCCATTCTCTGCTAACAGGAGCCAGGGCTGCTTGGAGAACCAGCCAATCCAGGGCTGG